CACACATAGTTATTTCTAAATTTGGGATATTTGCAGAAGTGTTTATGCATTTTTTGTCAAATGTATAAAAAGCACCTAGCATCAATTGTTCGAATTTAACCTGTACTGGCTATGTTTTTATGATAACTAGCCAGAATTCATTCAAATAACTCTGTTTAGTATTAAACGACATTATGGAGCGAAGACATCTTAACAGAAACGAAATACTAAGGGCCATGGGTATGCTCGAAGCTGGATTAAGTGCACGCTACCGTGAAAGTGGTGATGTTGCTGAAAGGCACACAGGGCGACATCGCATTACTACCCCTCAGCCAGATCATTTTTTTACAATTAAATGCTCGACGCCGACCGACTCTTACAGCATCAGAGCTTAGTTTAATTCTCCAGTAAACACATAATGTAACCGTTAGTCCTGACACTGTTAGCAATAGATTAAGAGAGGTCAGCTTAAGAAGCAGGCGCCCCTGGAGAGCTCAATCCTTAACGAGAGGAAATCGAGAGGTACGATATTTGTGGGCTCAAGATCATGTTCAGTGGTCGAATGAACAATGGGCCAATGTTCTCTTCACGGATGAGTCACGCTTTGGAATTCATCCGGATTCGAGAAGGCTTAGGGTATGAAGAGAACCGAGAAATCTTATTCGGTTGGATTATGTTCAGGAAGTGCACCCTTATCAAGGTGGAACAGTTATGGTCTGGGGAGGAGTCCAGTTAGGCCGAAAAACCGATCTCGTTTTTCTTGAAAGGTTTCTCACAGGAATCACATATCGTGATTTAATTCTTGAGCCTGTCGTGTTACCATATACCAATGATTTGGGAAAATGGTTTGATCTTTTTTTTTAATTCACAGTTGAGAATAAAAAAAAATGTGTGTATTTTTTTGAGTTCAATAAAAATCAAGGTAAATTTGAAAAATTCGGTAAATTTCGCATTTTTATTTCCAATACGTCCTGTAAACTATTTGTTTATTTTAATTTTATTATATCAGAAATGCAAATAATAAAATTACTGACGATGGCTGGATAAAATTGTAATATCCCTAAACTTTTCCTGTGTGTTTATTTCTCCGTTGCTTTTTTTGCATCTGAGTGTAGTATTCAAAAGCTTTTCGAAAATTTCTTTGAATAAAAATATTAAATAACAAATATATATGTTAACAAAATTTCTTACCGTAAACTTATCACGATAACTAAATAATTTAGGACCTACTAAATCCAATTTCTCGTTGATTAATTATTGCAGGACTGACAAAGTTACTGACGCATTTTAATTTTTACTGGCCGAAACTCTACAAACTTCCAAACTCCTTCCAACACTATTTAATACCGAAATATTACTCGGATTTAACTGCAAACTTTCATACCCGATGTTCTATATTTAGTGAGCGCTAAGAGGTTTAATAAAATATGTATGGTGTAATTCGCAATTTACTTCCTAGCAAATCGTACTGCGTCTGGCCAGAAATTTTAATATAACGTCGGCATGCATTCCGAAACTGGGAAAACATCAACAGAATCCAAAAGAAATAATATTGCCACAGTGACAAATAGTTGAAATGAATATAAGTTCTAAGCTAGAGGAATATTGAATTTGTATGAAAATATTAAAATATATTAAATGGTATATCTAACAAAAGTTAAATTTTTCGATCACACTAAAAGACGTTTGTTTCGTTTTACTGTAAAATTTTCAAAACTTCAATTACGACACTTTATGTGGGAGACGACGATTTATATAGGGTGAGTCTTATAAGTGCAAATATTTTCAGGGCTGATAGTCGAAAATAAGCCAGTTATTTTCCTTGGAAAACTAAAAAAAATGATTTTTTGCTTAAATTTTGAGAACCACTGAATATTTTCTGGGTTTTCTTTCTTGTAAATTTAATCTACTATATTATCAAGAAATTATGTTTTTAACTAAAAACTAAAAAAAAATCTAAACATTATCTCAGAAATTAGTGAAAAAAACTCATAATCGTGTTTCCAAAGTCGAAATATACAACTAATTGCCCATATTTAAGACTCGTCGTGTAGAAATGTTATTTATGTAATAATAATAAATAATAAATTTAAATTATTTCTAAAACTATTTTTGTGAACACTGAAAAAAAGGATCTCTCAGTCGAGATGAATATGACTTTGACACAAAAGATTGGCGCTTTTCAATAGGACCAAGAACGACGTTTCTTTGCCCAAAGCATTAACTATCTTTTCATAAGCTTTAAAAAATTACTTTAGAAAAAAAATTACTATATTCAAAGTATTTCACTCTTGACCCAAAATGAATATGCAAAGAAGTTCTTGCTACAAGAACAATAGTCTCTTTGATTCATGCAAAAATTCTTGATTGAAAAGGGACCCCATTTCTTGATTAAAGAGACACTTTTCTTAAACCAATAACGAATACTATTGACTCGACTAAAATTTATTTTGATCTAAGAGAAGTCTATACATCATATACAGGCATATTACGAGGTATATTATTTTCTGATAAATTTAGGTTTTCCTGGTCTCTAGTTAGTAAAGTGATATTATTTTCCTCGATAGTAGTTATTTCTGCTTCTTCACTCCTTGGTATTTTTTGGAGTGGTTCATCACTCTACAAATTACAAAGAAATGTTACATCACGATTAATCAAAGTAAAGCCAATAAATGATTAAAATTATAAGCTGTGGTCACATTTTGAATTTTTTAATACGACGACTTGAAATTCTAAAATTTTTGTAATTATTTGCATAAAAAAATCGATACCTATATTCTTATTCTATCTATAGTCACACATGCATTATCTAAACAGGTGCATTAGGTAAATGTCTCTTACCTTCAAATATAGCAAATAAATGCTCTAATTTCCATTTTTTCAGAAACTCCTTTAAAGAATCCATATATCCTAAAATTTGTCCATAAAAAATGACAAATGCATGTTAATAACGATCACTAATTTGTCATACGATATGCGTTTAAAAAGCAAATTATGCAAAATTCCAAGTGGAAAATTCCAAGCAACAAAACCCGTGCGTACTATGATGTACGACTGATCGGACTGCCGACTGATTGTATATACCGTCCTTCGTCATCGTCTTTGCGTGTCGTTATTATTTTTCATTAAAAGAGTATTTAGCTATTGGAAAAATGACCATGTTTCTTGAATGAAGTACTTCCTAGCGTATTTTTCTTATTATCTTAAAACAAAGTAACTTGCACTTGGTTGAATGAAAATAGATTCAAGAGAAATTTTCGAATTTTTCAAGAGAACCACTTTTCTTGAGTTAAGAGAGTTTTTCTTCAGGCAAAATATTTTCTTTTACGATAGAATAAATTCTCTTCGATGATTCATCGACGATCGATGAATCATACTCACTATCTGTGCATGGACACACCAAATAGACTAATCAGCACATAGTGACATCCTAAGCATTACTTCATTATAATGTAGGTCAGAATTTACACTATTGCCTGCTATTGCTCCTATTGCTACTCACGAGCGCAGATGTCCTAAACTTGTAAACTGCTCCGAAATGTCACTGCGATTTTCTTGGAACTGGAGCAGTCACATACTGCGACGTTGGTGGAGCTGTGACAAAGTAGCGGACTGCGATTTCACAACCCACCTCTATTGGTCACATCAAGGGTTACAGCAGAGTCGGCCTGACGATGGAGAAAAATCTCTGAAACTGGTCGTCGAATTGCTGCTCCCTTCGGTATGCTTCGGTCTGATGAACTTAATGCAGAGAATAAGCATATATGTAGGTTTTTTTGGCCCCTTTTTCCGCTACTCGTATTTTTGTTTATTTAAAGTAATGATATTTTTGAATGTCCGAACTGCGGAGGAGTGATAACATCACGTATCGCGCTTTTCAGTCACAGAAAAGCTCATGAACGAAAACGCCCTGCGTAACGATTTTCTGTTGCGTGTCGAATACTCGTCAGCGAGTAATGGCAGTAAGTAGGCTAGGATGTTACCAAACAAAACAACGCTTTATTGTACAAAAAGCCAAAATAGCTTCATCGACAAAGCATTTACAAAACAAACAAAAGCACAAAAAAAATATACAAATAATAAAATATATCGTACAATACAAATCAATTCAAAAAAAAATTACGTCATTAAAATTAGAAATAAAACATACATGGACGTTGCAGAACACAGGCGTATCAATAATATTTTACAATAGGAAAATTGTAAATGGATTTAATTATGTAAGAGTTATAAAATATTAAATACTAGACCTTTAACCAGTGTGTGAGATGATCAAAATTTTAAAATTCAAAATTGTTCATGATTAAACATCAACAAAAAAGTCGTTTGCCGCATATAGGACTCTCTTCAGTAAGTATGATTTCAGAGCTTTGCGAAATGCGGGAAAGAATGAAAGTGACTTGATATTCAAAGGCAGATGATTGTACATTTTTTTTGCATTGTACAGTATTGAGCCTTTAACTAGTTCTGTGCTCGGGGTTGGCAGATAAAGATCATTAAGTATCAGTAAGTGGATAGTTGTGAGATGCCTTTCGGGAATAGCAGATATGTGCTTGCGGATTAAGCAAACGGATTCAAAAATGGATAAGGAAGTAAGAGTCAGTATTTTGAAATTTTCAAAGAAATTCTGGCAGTGAGTTCTACTGTTCAGTCCCAATAAATACCGAACTGCTCTCTTTTGAAGTTTGAAAATACGTTCAAATTTTAGGTACTTGCGCAGCAAATACCCCAGAATGGAAGGGCATAACGAAGATGCGACTCAAAAAGGACATAATAGACTATTCTAGAGGTTGATAATTTAAGTTTCTTAGAAACTGATCTTATAGCGCAAAACAAGCAGCGCTTAGTTTCTTTGATAAAGCTTTGATGTGTAAGTCCCATTTTAACGAGTTGTCTACAACAAGTACGTCCACGACGTCAATAGTGGTATTATTAAGTACAAAAGGTTCTATAGTACTTTCATATGACAAAACTTTAGTTGTACCATTATCAGAACGATTATGTTTTCTTTTATTTCATACCTAAAGACTAGTGAGCCAACAAAACAATCACCGGACACAATTTATTGATCAATTACACACGAACTAAGCGAGAAAACGACACTTGGAAACGGTCGTGAACGCACTAATTGGAAAATCGGACACGAATTTCCACACCATCTTAAACTCGCGAACTCACTCAACCGACAATATTTTTTATTCGAAAATCAAAGTATCTCCGCGATTCGGCTCACTTAGACGCGGTTTTCCTTTCCACTTAGTCGAACGGTTATAAATAAGTTGATTTATTTTGTCACGACGCTCTTGCCGAGCCGCAGCGACGCCGCGTCTAAAAAAAGACGCCCGGTTTTATGGAAAACACCGAGAAATACACTTAATTAAAGTGGCGGAAGTTTCGGAGGGCGCGGGCGAATTTGTTTCCTTGACGAATAGGCCCGCATTTGTTACACGGTTGGTTTTCTTTCGATTTGTCAAAATCACAGTTGTTGCCGTTTTTGGTAATCTATTTAAAACCTAGATCATAAATATACCGGGTACATCGTCGGACGGGACATAGGAAATCCCATATAAATTTTAATGGGGTCAATAATTGACTTCCCTAATTATTTTAGATAATAATTCTATTTAGGTTTATTGAAGAGCACTAAAACCCACATTCAAAAGAATAACTTTAGATATTTTTGAATAGCTCGTTTACGAGTTATCGCCGATTTCTTTTTAAATATTTCTCCTTTCTTATGGCCCTGTATTTACTTATGAGCACCAGTCAAGGTAAAATATAACTGTCAAATGAAGTTGTCATTTTAGAAATTTACCTATTTAGTGCTTTATTATTATTGAAAACTCATTCCTACATCGGAAATCTTAAAGATGTATTTATAAATACAAATTAATATGAATTAAAGTAAAATAAAGTAATCAACTACAAGGTTAATTATAGTATTATTACAATATTCAATAACTTATTAATTTAGGTCCTATTAAATTGTTAGAACTTTAGGATTTAAGAAGATGTTCAAATATTCCTCCATTGACTGCTAGACAATAACCCAGGCGATCATAAAATTCTCTTCTTACATTCGCTAGTTGGTAAACTGAAATTATATTGCATTCGGCAGAAATAGCATTTTTTAACTCGTCTAGATTTGAGTATTTTTTATCCTTGTATATCCTGTTTTTTAAATGGCCCCAGAGAAAGAAATCATTTGGCGAAATATCAGGAGACCTTTGCTGGCCAATTTACTGTATGATTTAGGCCAATAACGTTTCCGTTAAAACTATTGTCTAAATATTCCCGAACAGCCAGGGTACTATGTGCCGGGTAGCCATCCATTTGGTACCAAACTTCCTGATTTTTCCTAGCGGCATCATGTAAAGCAGGTAAAATATGATTTTCGAGTAGTTCCAAATAATATTCTGCATTTAAATTTGGCGTAAGAAATAATGGCTGGATAATATTGTGTCCGAATATCCCTGCCCAAACATTTACTTTCTGTGGATATTGCGTCCTTGTTTCGACAAACCTGTGTTGGTTTTCTTTGTTCCAATATCGATAATTTTGAACATTGGGTTCATTATTTAAGGTAAACGTGCATTCCTCAGTGAAACATATGTTTTTTAAAAATTCCCTATCCGTGTTTGCCCTTTCCATCATATCAAAACAAAACGCCTGCCGCCGTATTTCGTCCCCATCTCGTAGCTCTTGGTGCTTTTCATATTTGAAGGAATAGTATTTATGTCGTTTTAAAATTCGAAACGCTGTAGTGTGATCTATTCCTATTTCATCCTCAAGTTTCATTGTGCTGATCTTTCCATCGTTCTCTTCCACGCACAATAAAACTTTCAAGTCGGTATCATTTCTTGCATCTTCACATCTGCAGTTATTTATTAGGGTACCTTTGGTCTCAAATCTCTGGATATTCCTTGCGATTGTAGATTTTCCAGGTATCGGTCTATTCGGATACGGAGCAGCAAACATGTCCGACACCTTTTGATAACTATTTCCTTGATAATACCTATGTATCATCAATACTTTTTCTTCGGTAGTGTAATTCATGGCTAATATTTTCGATGTAGGTATGAGTTTTTAATAATAATAATAAAGCACTAAATAGATAAATTTCTGAATTGACAACTTCATTTGACAGTTATCTTTTACCTTGACTGGTGCTCATAAGTAAATACAGGGCCATAAGAAAGGAGAAATATTTATATTTTATACAATCTCCGCTTAGAAGCTTAGTCTTCTACATTTTCTTCAGGGTATAGTAAATAATTTAGCTAATATAGCCATTATTATTTTTACTCTTCACCCAATAAAATCGCAAGTGCAGTTTTTCATTTATTTAAAATACATTCCTGCACTAAATAAATAAAATATATAAACCTTCTTTATCTTGTCAATACAAATTTATTTACATTAATTAGTTTTAAAAACACGAATTATTTGCTATGGGAAAACATTCTTCTATTGTTATTAACGTGAGGTAGGATATTCAATTAGTGGATTTTAAATTAATTAAAATACCAAAAAATATATGACATAGTTAACATTTTTCTAAATCGAATATTATTCGTGGTTTGAGAGCTGTACAAACCGTTATTTTCAATATAATGTGAAAAGGAAATCAAATTGTACCCACTGAATATTTCCATATTGTTTAGTTTGTAAAAATAAATATATATTTTTTAGTTCAGTACGGTTTTACAGGGAATAAGTGCTCTATCTCGGGTCAGTTTTTTGTTCAAAATCCAATAATTTTATATGTTATACAAAATATACAATATATGTTTTGACAAAAAAAAACAATATGATGGCATGAACTTGGTAAAAAGCTACAATAATTTTATTTAAAATAAAACAAGTGTAATTCCTAAAGTATTATTTTTTTTTCGTTATTGTAGGGCAATACATTTTAAAACACTAAAGCGGCCCACAAACGGTCAGTATTATTGCGCAATATGTCATATTGTGCAATAATATTGACCGTTTGTGCAATAATATTGACTATATTGTGCAATAATATGTCATTATAATATATCATATTGTGCAATAATATTGACCGTTTAGGGTTTACATTGAAAGGTTGTACAGGGTGGTCGAAATTGGTCTGTTTTAACAGAGAAAACCTATTTCCTGACTAGATAGAGCAAAACCGACATAGATGTCATAGGCTCGATTTCTGAGACACTTTTAATGGCGTAAACCGCCTGTTGATATTTTCACATCCAACTGAGATACAGGGTCTTTTTGATTTTTTTACCATTTTAAAAATTGCTCATAACGTTTTTATTTCGCGGAATAATAAAATTCTGTAAAAACATTCTTAAGGCACTTTTTTAAGCACAATCCAGTGGCGTAGTCAGCTTCTTTCTATGTTTGCTCTTTTTGTAAGAAATAATAAAAATATAATTTTTTAAATGGAAATCATAGTTGGCTATGAACTTAAAAAAATGATGGCGTTTAACCCTTTCCAACGATATAAAGTTATGAGTATCTATTTCTAAGAATGAGAGAAATATTAGGTTTTTTATCTTTGTATCGAAGCGGGCCTTGATTTTGTGTTGACCTATTTGCCTAATTATTATTTATCACAATTTAATATTCTATATTATTATTTATCATATATGCATAATTAAAAACTTTTGGAAAGGTAAATTAACATTCTAAAATATATTAGTATTAGTAGGTAATTACAATTGAAATCGATACAATAAACAAAGAACTAAACTAAAAAAACGTGTGTGGATGACATCTATTACCTGAGTCTTTTGTCGTATCCCTCTATTCTTTTACGGTTTTTCTTGGTTATTCCCAGCATATTTCGTTCCATTGAGCGTTGTGCGACTTGAAGTTTCCTTATAATGTCCGTTTTAATTGTGTCCAGGTTTTGCATGCGTAGGTCATGACTGGTAGTACACACATTGGTCGAATGAATTCTTCTTTAGATAGAGTGGCATTAAAGATTTTAATATGATTGAGTTTCTTTCAAGTCTTCCATGGTAACTTAATTCTTGGATTGATTTCTAGTAGTAGAGATCCTGATCTGTGTATTAGTTGTGCCAAATATATGTATTCTTCTACTATTTCCAGTTTTGTGTTTTTTATTAGGGTTTGGTTTTGAGAAATTTATTTTTTATTATTAGAGTTCAGTTTAGAGAAAACCCCAATTCCAGCTATATTAATGACTTAGTACAAGGTCACATTAAGACTGACAACACTGAATAAAATAAATTTGTCGGTTTAATAAGGGGATGATTAAGCGAATGGAGGTGGAATCCGCGGTCAGTTCTGGACCCCGGCTTGAAATTCTCCTTGACCGTCGTCGGCTCGCTAGGAATGCCTCACTAATTAACACGTTCCTACGGGCATTGATTTACCCCCAAACTTATTAGGTATCCCCCCATTCTTGTACCGGATCTAACTCAATTAATTCGCATTAATTGGAACAACTATTTGTCCGCGTTTAGTTTTGTTGTTTAGATATAACTTTTTCGTTATATTAGGTTAGGTATAAGTATTTGGGATCACTCAATTATTTAGAGTTGCGAATCTTCAATTAGTGCACATGTGCACATAATCAAAATTTAATGCTTCTCCTTGAGAAAAAAAAAAATATTTGTACTACTACATTAGTAGTAATTCTCTTTTATTTTTTTTTTAATATAAAAACGGTTGATACTCCAGCTATGTTCGATGCATTAACTAAACACTAAAAACTAAACACTAAAAACTAAATACTAAACACAATACCTTAGTATAACAGAATTGATGTGTTAGATATCCCAATAACGGAACAGGAAATAAAGGCCTCCATAAAACATCTTAAAAACAAATCGGCTGGCTGTGACGCGATTCCGGCGTTCCGCGATAGTAAGGAGGTGGATGTTCTATAAGGCGGTATTTTAGAGCAATTTCTTTGTGTATGATTTTAGCGATCTGGTTGTGCCTTCCGAGGTAAGCTGTGTCCGATAAACAGGGACATCCGGCTATGACATGGTCAATTATTTCATTAGCTGCTCAACATTTTCGACAGGTATCCTGGACATTTTTATTTAATATATGTTTTTCATAGTTTCTAGTGCGTATGACACGGTCTTGTATGGATATTACAAATCCTTCAGTTTCAGGGTGCAGAACTCCTTTTCTTAACTAAGTAAGGGAGTTTCCTTTGTCGATATTTGGATCGTCGAGAGAGGCAGGAAACTTGCCATGAAGGATTTTTTGTCGGCAAGAATGTTGGGCATCAACCATTGTCGTTTTCTTTTGTTGGATATCACCATTATCTGTGCTTAAATTCAGTGGGGTATAATTGTTGTCCGCCGTAACAATTAATTTATGAAGGTTGCTATTTGACTTTATAAAATATGCTTTCATACTCTGTTCCTGTGATCTACACAATGACTTAATATTCAGCAGACCTCTACCTCCTTCTTTTCTTTTTAAGTATAATCTCTCCAACTCAGATTGCGGATGGTGGCATCTAAATTTTTTGAGCAGCCGGCGTGTAAGTCGGTCCAGTTCATCCAGGTCTGCATCTGAGTATTTCAATATCCCAAAGGAATACGTGAGTGTTGACACAGCCCAAGAATTAACAGCTGATATAAGATTTCGCGAATTAAGATACGTGTTTAACAGCTTGGTTAGTCGGCTCCTGTATTTTTCCTTAAATTCTTTCTTAAGCGTAGTGTGATCTATCGGCCGATTTTGCGCCACTCTCAAATATTTGTACGTATCTGTTTGACTGAGTGGTTTGATTTCAGATATTGGTAAGTTTTCGTTTTGCCACTTACCTTTATTAATATATATTGTTGCGCACTTCTCCATTCCAAAATTCATTTGAATATTATTATTGAATGTCTTGGTTGTGTCAATTAGTTGGTGAAGATGGGCCGGTGTTTCTGCATATAATTTAATGTCGTCCATAAACATAAGATGACTAATTTTGTTGTTTTCCTTAGGGTTTGGTCTGTAGCCATGTGTTGTTGAGTTAAGTAGGAGTGATAGCGGGTTAAGGGATAACACAAACCACAGTGGGCTCAGTGAATCTCCTTGGAATATTCCCTTTTTGATGTCCATTTGGCCTAAGTTTGTGTTGTTAGCAAAAAGCTGTGTATTCCACTTTTTTATTGCAGTATTTAACAACATTTTAATAGATGGGTGAATTTTATAGATATCTAGAACCTTAATCAGCCAGTCATGCGGTACCGAATCGAATGCTTTGCTATAATCTATGTAACTCATATTGATATTCCGGCGTTTCACCTGTGCATGTTTGATCTATTGTAAGCTGCTCTTTACTACCTAATGAGTTTTTGATGCACCCTTTTTGTTCGGATGCAATTATATTATCAAGTGTGCAATGGTCATATATTTTGCAAGTTATTACAGCTGCAAGTAGTTTATAAACCGATGATAAACACGTGATTGGTCTATAGTTTTCAGGTTTTGACCTGATCTGATGACCTATCACCTTTTTTGTAAAAAAGGAAAGTATTTCCACTAGCAAGGAAGAGCATTAGGGTTCTCGATAATTTTATTGAAGCACCTGGCAATAGCTTCACCATTGCCGCCAAATGTTTTTAACCAGAAATTTTGAATACCGTCTGGTCCTGGTGCGCGCCAATTTCGTAAGGATTTTAGGCATATCGCTATATCGTCTTTAGTGAATTGTATTTGAGGCATCGCATTTATGTCATGTGTCGAGTTTTCTACCACATTCATCCATTCGGTATCAGTCTTGAAATTAGATGGTGTCGCCCACGTATCCCGCCAGAATGAGAAAAACTGTGATGAATCCATTTCAATATCCATCCTCCTAACATCTGTCGGATTTTCTAGCTTCTGATAGAATTTCTTAGGACATTTGGAGTATTGAAAGTTGTCTTCTTTACGCCTTGTTGCTTTGTTGTGCCTACGCAATCGTGCACCTTTAGCCTTGCATTTCTGGCTGAGCTCATCTCTAACCACAATTAACTTGCGCGTCTTCTCGTGTTCCTCTGGGTTGATATGAGTATGCTTCAAGATAATTTTCTGGCTATTCGATTACTGGTATTACCATTTAAGTATTCGGTGATTGTACTTATCTGTCTTCGAAGATCGTCTATAGTTTTTGTTAGTCTAACTTTCCACGCCGGCTCTTTCTGCAATTGCTGCTTATGAGATTTATTCTTTTCCATCACTTATTGGCAATTGAGTTCAATTGTAGTGACAGCAGCAGCATATAGCGCAAGATGGAACTGTTCTATTTCATCTATGTCTTTAATGTGATTTTGGAATATGAACTTTACATAATTCAGGATTTTTGTAGTGTTCTTTTTGAAATTCAGTTGCGGAATGAAAGGTCTACTTAAAGGATCAGTTCTATGAAATAAACTATAGTTGAACTGAAACAATTCATATGTCTCGCGCTCAGTAGTGCTCACTGGTTCGGTTACTTCTTCTCTTATTGCAACTGGGGTGTCTCTATGATAGGAATGTGTGAAGTCTATGGATATATCTTCTCGAATTTCTAAATTAGTTTGAATTTGGGTTAAAATATGTCCAACTTCTCTTCTGATCTGATCTATTTCTTGTTGCGCAAATAGTTTCTTAGAGTATATTGCCCTAAGTCGATCTGATACATTTTGCTGCGTTAATTTCAAATGAGGGAAGGTTTTATTCATCTCAGTGTGTAACTTCTGTCTCCATCCAGGAAGTGGATCATCTCGGCACTCATTAATTTGGAGAAATATTTTGATTATTAAACAATTCATTTCTTTCGTCCACTTCCAATGCGTGTGCCTTTCGTTGATTTTCTAGAAATGTCAGCAGAATCTTGGCTTGTACTTGGATTCGAGCTAACAGTTTCAGTTGTCTTATCCACTTCGTTGTTAGTTTGGGCTGTAGTTTGTTTTGGGACAAGGGCCCGCCTTTTCAGCACCTTGTCACCGACGTCCCGCATACTGTCATGTCCAGCGTCGGCTCCAGACATGCCCTGGCGATCCCCAGGCAGCGGCTGTTTACTATTTCCAATATTTGTTTTCATTCCATTATTGGTATTCCCTTTTCCTATTATATTTGAAGATGGAAAAGGAAGAAAAGATCTACGGAGGATTAGCAAAGGATTTGGATACTATGGGTGAATTGATGTTTAAGGATCTTATGGATCTAATGGATCTAAAGGATAGGGTAACAAGGTCAGCGGACAACTGGTGTTACTGGCAGTATCGTTTACACATTCGATAACAACAAGAGCATGCTGGATTGCATCCCTTTCGGCCAGACTTTGACCAAATAAGGTCTAGTTTTATGTTGTGTGTCTGTAATGGGATAGGTGTGTGGGAAGATAGTCTGTAATGGAGGGGCCCGCTCCCGTCGGGGTGTGGCTACAGGCTGTATGGCTTGCCCTACGTACCGTAGCAAACACAGTAAAGGCCCCTATCCTGGAGCTTTACTTTGTCTGGCCTGACTAACTTTTTATTGACCATTATTATTATTATTATTTTTTTTTTTCACAGCATTTTTGCTGGGTACGGCCAATGTTCGCGGGGTCTTTATAGACCAACGCGACCATCTGTTGCCAGTATACGTCTCACGGTGCGACAGGTTGCCAGAATGACAGCTTTTTGTGAGATTGCTACAATTTGCTTCGGATTGCGTATGCTGATAGCCTTAAGATTGCGGGGTAAGTACTTATCTACTAACCCATTACATGATATTATTATAGGATATATTTCCACCTTTTCCAACTGATACATTCTCTTTATCTCATCCGCGAGTTCTTGGTATTTCAGGACTTTCTCCATTCTTGATTTTCCTACATTTTCGTCTGCTGGAATTTGTATATCTATTACTTGCGCCTTTCTTTGCTTCTTATCAAAAACTAAGATGTCTGGTCGATTGTGACTCACCGTCCTATCCGTTGTTATAGCTAGGTCCCATAGGATCTTCCACGATTCGTTTTCTAGTACCGTCTGAGGCTGGTATTTGTAGTATGGGACTTTTGCAGTAAGGAGCCCCATTTGTACACAGAGTTCCTGATGTATTACGCCTGCAACTTGGTTGTGCCTGTTTAGGTAGTCCCTCGGGGCAAGATATGTGCAACCAGCAGTTAGGTGTTGAATAGATTCAGTAGTGGTCTGGCATAGTCGACACTTATCAGATGGTAAGTCCTCTTTTAGGATGAATTTTCTCCGGTTTCTCGTAGGTATTACCTGTCCTTGTATGGCGTTTATGAATCCTTCAGTTTCGAACATTAACTGGCCATCAGAAAGATAAGACGTTGAAAGCTTCTTATCGACCTCACCTCCGTTGAGGTTGGCTGCATACCGTCCATGTAATGGTTTCGCTTTCCATTCTTCCTCGAATTGGCTGATTGTAACTGGGATTGGTGGGGGATTCTTATCTGCAAGTTTAAGCTGTGAATATCCGTCGTCAACCTGTATTAGCGCTCGATGCAATGGCTGATCGGTACGGAGAAAGTAGTCTCTGAGGTTGGTGGTCGGTTGGTGGTGTTGTACGACTAGATTTTGTAAACCTCGTCCTCCATTTGCCCGCGGAAGGTATAATTTGGCAGTCGAATCTTGTGGGTGGTGGGACCTGAATTTTGTTAGAAGTACCCTTACTTTTCTGTCAATGCTTTCCAGGTTTGTTTTCCTCCATTTCAATATACCAAATGTGTGGGATATAGTTGGTATTGCCCAAGAATTAATTGCCGTGACTTTTGCCCCAGAGTATAATTCCGTTTTAAGTATTTTGGTCACGCGTTGGAGAAAAGATGATTCGACGGCCTTTTTCATTTCAGTGTGGTCTATAATAGCGGACTGTTGCACACCAAGATATTTGTACTTTGCTCCTAGTTCGAGTCCTGCGATATGCTGTCCTCTCCTCAAGTCGATGCCTTCGGATTCTATGATTTTTCCTTTTATCACGTTCACGTATGCGCACTTACTGATACCAAATTTCATTTTAATATCCTCGCTAAAACATGACACTAGTTCTAGCAGGCTGTGTAGTTGGTCCCTATTCGTAGCGTAGAGCTTCAAGTCGTCTACGTAGAACAAGTGCGTTAGTCGAACACTTGGGTTTTTCGTTATCTGGTACCCGTAGTTTCCAGTCTTTAGCATAGAGCTAAGTGGGTTAAGTGCCAAGCAAAACCATATTGGGCACAGGCTATCCCCCCTGGAAAATGCCTCTCCGGATTTTTAAGGTGTCAGTAAGGTATGAAACACCATTCAGGTTCACCGCTGGTTGCGTTCTCTATCTATCCATGGTTTGCCGGAGGAAGTATATTACTTCTGTATTAATTTTATATATTTCTAATGTTTTTACTAACCATGAATGGGGGACGGAGTCAAACGCCTTCTGGTAGTCAATCCATACCATTGCTATATTTCTTTTTTTAACCATGGCCTGTTTTGTTACGATGGCGTCAACTACGGTTCACTCTCTACTACCCTGCGATCCCTCCCGGCTTTCATTTTATTTCATGGCTAGAATTTGGTTTTTCTTTAGATGTTGAGTTATTTGGGCGTTTATTATAGATGTAAGTAATTTATAGATTACCGGTAAGCAGGTTATTGGTCTAAAATTCTTTGGATTTTCAGGTTCCTGATTCTTGGGGAGCATGTAAGTTACTCCTTGCGTGAAGAAGGGCGGCATCTTTTCAGGGTCGACAAGGGCTTGCTGGAACTGCCTGGACAAGATTGGGTGGGTAGCAGGAAAGTTTTTCCACCAGTATGCTTGGATCTTATCATTCCCTGGGGTCTTCCAGTTGCCCAACCTTGTAAGAGCTTTTCTCACCAACTCTGCCGTTACTATTATTCTTTCCATTTCCGGTATACCTTGGTTTCTCTGTTCTTCTTTTCTCAGCCAATAGGCATCCTTATTATGATTTTCTTCCTTAGACCATATTTCACTCCAATATTCCATCATATGCGCCTTCTCTGGGGGTTTTCCTTGCTGTTGTTGGGAATCTGTTGCAAGGTTGCGGTAGAAGAGTTTCTGGTTCAGTTGGAAATCACGGTTTTGTTTGTATCGCTTAACCCTTTTGTTGTATCTTCTTAGTCTAGCCCCCAAGGCGGAAATTTTTTGTTTGAGGTTCTCAAGGAGCGTTCTTAGGTTCTGTTCATTGATATTAAGATCGTTTGCTTTGGCTATGTTGTTAACTCTATGCCTTAATCTAACGCTAGAGCCAGCAGGATTTTGGGTATAAGAGTTAATTGGCCCTATCACTTCCCTTAATTTCATTATTTTTGATTCCAGTCTTCTTTTCCACGGTGGGTTGCTATCTGTCTTGATCTCTCGTGATATTCTCTGGGAGGTACTACATCCTGTTGCATTACAAACAGTTATTGCGGCACTGTAAATTAGGTGGCAGGTTTCCTCTAGGTTTGAGCTAGAGGGAAGCTTCTGAGCAAGTATATTGTTAACCAGTCTAACAGTTTGAAGAGTTTTTACATTGCATTTGATTTTTGGGATTTTGTCTCTTAACTGTAGCGGGATACCTTCGTATTTTAAACAGTTTTCTTCAAATTGGGAGTGAAGTTCGTTAACCGCTGGGACGTTTTCGTCCTCGGTGAGAAGAGTTGTCACGGTTTCTCGTTTGTTTCAGCACTTTCCTCTACAACTTCCTGTATGGCGGAATGCGGTTATTTGTGTGGTGCCACTTCTTCTTTTAAGGCTTGTAACTCTGCTTGGGAAAATACTTTTCTATTAAGAACTGATCTTATTTGGCCTGACAGTTGTTGAGATGTTTTTGGGTTGTGGATTGTATCGTTCCATATCCTAACTATTTGCGTCCTGTAACCTGTCATTTCGTTTTCGTTTTTCGTGGCAGTAAAGTATGCACGTATGAGATTGATATTATCTTCTCTTGACCAGCGCATACGCCTGTTTCGTGTTTGTCGTCCATTAGCGGGGCTTCTATATGGTTATTATTATTATTTTTTTTTTTTTTTTCACTGCTCAGAACAGGTTTAAAGCTGCCTTATCGGTCCATGGGGACAAGATAAGGTGCTATTGTTAATCACCTAGAAAGGAACGAACAATGTTAGAAGCATCAAGCAGCACAGATTTCTGCATTAGGCGGTAAGTATTTTCAGGTATTCCAATTACTTTTAATTGTTCTTTCAGGTTGACCGGGATAATTCCAATGGCTGAGACTATCAAGGGGACTACCTGGACCGATTCCATTTGCCATATATTTTTTATTTCTATTCTCAAATCTTGATACTTTGTTATTTTTTCTGTAAACTTGCTTTGTATATTGTTGTTGTTAGGAATAGAAATATCAATTAGTAAAACTGTTTTTTTTTAATTTTATTTATAAGCGTGATGTCCGGTCTGTTACTTCTCACGGTTTTATTTGTTAAGATTGTTTTATCCCAGTATATTTTGAAACTATTATTTTCGACTACGGGTGGTGGGTGATATTTGTAGTAGGGCTCTTGGATTTCTCGGTCAATGTTGAATTGTTTGAGGATCTCCAAGTAGATGATTGATGCGACTCTGTTGTGTCTTTCCAGATACTTTGTACTCGCAAGATTACTGCACCCTGATAAAATGTGTTCTATGTTTTCACTTCCAGAATCACATCTAGGGCACTTGTCTGATATATTCTCCTTTAGGATGAGTTTCCGGTAGTTGCGTGTTGGAATAACTTGGTCTTGCATAGCCACTATGAATCCCTCGGTTTCTGAGTAGAGATAACCCGATGTTAACCAGTGCAATGATTCCACCTTTTCAATGTGATGTTGATCTAGCTCATTTAGGTACCGTCCGTGTAACTCCTTGGCTCCCCAAGTAGCTATTTTATTAGTGATTGATGTAGGAGTTGGAAAAGCACCATATTGTTTCTACTGAGGTTCAAGGGGGTGTATTTGACATCAGCTGAAGACACCGTGACGTAAAGGTTGCTGTTCTTGGTATAAAAGTATTCTCTGAGGCTCTTTATTTGCTCCCGACAGACATTAACAACATCCAGTAAACCTCTACCTCCAAGATTTCGAGGGAGGGTCACCCGTTCCGTAGCGCTTCTTGGGTGGTGATTTTAAATTTGGTTAAGGTTGTTCGTACCAGGCGATTTAGGGATTCCAAGTCTGTATGGGTCCATTTGACTATTCCAAAAGAATATGTAAGAACCGGTAGGGCATAAGTGTTTATTGCTTTAAAGAGGTTCTTAGAATTCAAACCTGTCTTTAGAAGGGAGGTAAGTCGCAGTCGGAAGGCGGTCGATAGGCGGTTTTTAATAATTCCATGTTCTATTTTGTGTGTTTGTAGCATTCCAAGATATTTATACGGCTCAGTCGACATTGCGGAGATAATAGTTTTCTCATCTAGATTCAATTCTGGTGTTTCGCATAGTTTTCCTCTTATGATTGAAACAGTCTGACATTTGCTCGTACCAAAGGTCATTCCAATATCTGCGCTGATTTTATGAACGGTACGCAGAAGGTTTTCAAGTTGGTTTTTTGTTGCAGCATATATCTTCAAGTCATCCATGTATAGTAGGTGTGTAATGAGATGACGTCTGTTTCTCGTTCGTAGTGAGAATCCATAACCTGTTTCATTGATTATCCGCGATAGTGGATTTAAGGCTAGACAAAACCAAAGGGCGCTAAAAGAATCCCCTTGGAATATCCCTCTACGAATTGGAATTTTTGGCGATGTTATGTCAAAGGGAGCAGACCTGAGGTTGAGGGAGGTCGTCCATGAGGCATGATCTCTTTAAAGAATCGGCAGATTTTGGGGTCAACATTGCAGATTTCTAGAACTTGCAACAGCCAGCTGTGTGGTATGGAGTCGAACGCTTTCTGATAGTCAATATAGCCCATGAAGAGATTTCTTTTGTTATGTCTGGCTTGCTACAAAACCACCGAGTCCATTACAAGCTGTTCCTTAGAGCCCATTGCCCTGCTTTTGCAACCTTTTTGCTCTTCATGTAGGATGTTATTGGTGACCAGGTAGGTATATATTTTACTGCTAATGCAGCTTGAAAATATCCTATAAATTGATGGAAGGCAGGTGATGGGTCGATATTGGGAAGGATTATCTGGGTTTTTTGTTTTTGGTAGAAGGTGAGTAATTCCCTCCGTTAGAAAGACGGGCATTTTATTGGGGTCAATCAAAGTTTCAGTAAATTCTCTCGCTAGGTGGTTGTAAGTAGCGGAAAATTTCTTGAGCCAAAAGTTGTGAATTCCGTCATGCCCTGGACTTCTCCAATTAGGTAATTTTTTTATTGCACTTTCAACGTCGCGCAAGGTAATTATTGTGTCTTCCATTCTTACGTTCTGATGTTTTTCACGCTCCTGGTTTATCCATGCGGCATTTATTTGATGCTCTCCTTGAGACGACCAGATGTTGTTCCAGTATTGATTTAGTTGGTTTGAGTCTATGGCATTTGGATGTTGGGGGTTTTCTTTATTTGCCTTATTTCCAAGGTTGCGGTAGAAGCACCTCTCGTTTTGGGTGAATTGGGCGTTGTGCATCCGTCGTAGGTGGCTTCGTTTGTACCGTTTGAGTTTGTCTGTATGTACTGCTAGCTGTTGTTTTAATGAGTCTAGAGTATCGATAACAAAGTCTTTCTGGGTTTGGCCGCTTAGTTGACGGAATCTAGTCGTTATGTCTTCTGATATCTTCTTTAAAAGGGTTTCACTATCGTTTCCTTTAGAAAGTTGTTGCATGCGACCTATGTCTCTACGTAATCTGCTGATTTTGTCAGACATTCTTTTTTCCCAGGGTGGTATAGGTTTCTTATTTTCCTTAGGACGTTGGGCTACATCTTGACCATTTTGTGTAAGACAAGTTAGGGCCGCACAGTATATATGTACATGTATTTCTTCTAAATTGAAACTGGTTTTCAGTTTATCACATAGGATAGCGTTAACTCTCTCGATGATTGTTGTTGTTTGTGCTGTGTATTTTATTTTCGGAAGTGATGGTCTGAGGTTGGGATTGGAGCCATAAAACTTAATTAGGTTTGATTCGTATAGATAATCCAATTGGGTTTGTTCGGTAGGTAGTGTAATCTCTGTCGGTAGTGCAGTCTCTGTCTCAGCTTCACGTATGCTTTCGCTCTGCGGTGGTTGTGGCGGTATGTCAATAGTTGTTTCTGGGTTGATTTCTAGTCTTATTTGTTCCTTGATTCTGGCCAGTGTCTCTTGAGAAAGAAGATTCCTACTTACTATGGTCCTGCGTTGATCTGCGATGCGTTGCTCACTTAAGTGTTTAAGGTTTGGGAAAACCTTTATAAATTGTGCATACAATTTGCCACGGTACATTGTAAAGTCCGTCTCCAGGTTAGTAACTTTATAGTACAGTCGCATGATTTCACTGTTTTCGGCGTTGGTCCATTTCTTGCGACGTACCGTTGGGTTCGTACCATCTTCGGTGGGAACAGGTGTGTCCGGTTCAGCACTTGAAGATGGAGGATGTCCTATTTCTTGCGTTGGGTGAGTGTAGATCTCGGGGCAGCATCACCCGCCATGCTGACACCCTCGACAGGCTGCGGATTTGGACGATTCCGAAGGGGACCAGCCCGCTGTCCCCCCGCCCTGAGAGTATCGTTTATTTCTTGTATTCACCATGTTTACCATAGGTTTGGTTGCATTTTATACCTAACTGCCAGGTTGGGGAAGGTTGACAGGATAAGGGTAAGTGGAATTTTAGGAGAGCGTGGAAAGATAGGAGGTTAGGATAGGTCAGCGGACAGCTGGCGATACTGGCAGTACCGTTTCCGCATACGATAGCGGTAGGTATACTGCTGGCTACGGTACCCTTGCCGGCCTTGGTTATTATTATTATTATTATTATTATTTTCCATGAAAACTTAAAGAGCATGCAGAATCAGTGGGTGGAAGCAGCGCACAATAGAAAGCAATGGAGAAGATATGTAAATTCAGTTAACAACGCCAACCAAAAAGTAAAGAGGCATCAAAGTAACAAGATTTTTGAATGTCCGGAGTGCGGAAGGGAGATAACATCACGTATCGGGCTTTTCAGTCACAGAAAAGCTCGTGAAAGAAAACGCCTTGCGTAACAATCATCTTATGCGTGTCCAATACTTATCAGGAAGTAATGGCAGTAATAGTAGTAGTAGTTCGATGTATTAACCCGGCTCATGTGCTGATCCGTGTACTTTCAGCTCGTTACAATCATTTACAGCTTCTTAACTACGAAAATGACATTAGCCTGCTAAAAATAAATTTAAAAAAAATGGTGGACAGGGATTTTAGTTTTCAATTTGTTAA